TGACCAACTTACTCATACTCTCTCGCTCTCTGCTGGTTTCCTTCTGTACTGCTCCATCCGTCTCATGCGTACGGACCAGCATGCCCAGTATGAGCCTCCTGCTCATACTGGGCAGCTTTCTTGTGATAGCACTCCAAACAAGCAGCAGTTGCGAGGAAAACATGTAGAAAGTTTTGGTCTTGGCATTTAAAAAAGTTGTTTTTAAATGCCAATCTGGACTAAACAGGCAAATTTACAGTAAAAAATAAAGTGTTTTCCTTCTGAGGCAGGAGTTTGTTTGCAATGTTTAGGAAATACAACAATAGAAATTAAACGTATTTGTCTTTGCAGCAAGCTGACAGTAAGAAGCAGCTGAAAGGCAGCTATTTATTTACTTATATCACCTGAACAACACAGTGGATCTGGTTGGCTGGTAGTTTCAGGCCAGATTGTTTTAAAAAAATTGACTTTTTATTTTTTGTCCTTGTTATTAGCCTCATACCAGTTGCAACTGTGTTTCATCTCTTTAAGGGAGAATTCTTTTCATGCTTGAATTGTTTTACTTTAAAAATTACCAAGTATAAAGAAGAGTCCTACTTAATTGGTAGAAAAGTTTAAATTGTCTAAACAGTGCTCTATTTATGCGAGCAGAATTCACTTCCATGTTTAAAGCAGGGGAGATTTAATGCCTTGAGTTCAGTCTCTTTCAGTGGTGCTGTTGTCTGACTTTGTCATAGACATGCAACCGCGGCCTGACCTGCTCATTCCAGTTTCAACTGATTTAGATTGTTTTTTTCCTAACACATAAAGTAGAAAAAAGTGCCTAAGCGTTGTTTAAAGCATTTGCAGGCTAGAGTATAATGGAAAGTTATACCTGTGTAGCTTTTATTAAATAGAAAATGAAACCTTTTTGGGATTTGATTTGCTGAGTAGAGATTTCTAGAGGAAAAATGTCTGATTCTCAGATGTGGTTCATTGATCGGTACGTCTCAAATCAGAGCGACTCGGAGCGAGGTGGCAACCAAAATTCCCATCTCAGTGTGGGGGTGTGGTTGATGTTGAGAATAAATAATGCTGTGTTTTTCTTCTAACTCTGTTAGCTAGTTGCTAAGCTAAAGCTAAGGTAAATCTAAAAGAAATGACATGCTAGGAAACGCCCTCAAAGCTAACATTACAGGATACTAGCAACTAGAGAACGCCCTCTTTGGAGCGTAGCTTAGAGAGAGGCTAACAGTGGGAAACTGTTCTGAGATGCCATTTTGACTGTTAGCACTTAAAGGTGGAAGGTCATAAAGGTCCAGCTGCATTTTGGTTTTAATACATGGAATTCATGAACTCAACTCGCTGACTCTTCTGTAACCTCATACAAGAAGAACTCAGCATGAACGGATCAATCTCTACACTGATAAAGCAAAAACTATTAATTCTGGCTGAGAGACATCGTGAGGCTGATCAAGGAGCAGGTGGTTGATTAGAAACTAGGTGCAGCTGTGAGGGAAGGCATGTAACTAAAGTTGATAAGAGTAAGTAGGGGGAAAAAAAATGGCTGTTAGAATACACAGGGAACACGAGAAACAAGTAATCAATCTAAATACAGAGACAAATCCCAAAATCCAAACACCCCAGAATCGTAACAACCACCACTGCATCGCTATGTTTTTGACTGTAATTTGACCCCAAAACACCTTACCAGGTATTTTTAAAATACGGTGGATGCCAAAGGTTATTTCTCCAAATCCCTGCTAGGACAAAATAACTTTTATATCCACAGGCCAAATTTTGCTCCTTCTAACTGGCAGCCATGGGTGAAAACAAAGCTTGACTTAGATTTGTAACCGCTGTGCTCTCCAAGAACTTTTTAAATATTGCTGCTTAGCAAATTGGGTTATGAGAGGTCTGACGTTGTGTTTGTGTGGCTTAGACTCATATTTTCAGCTTCATTTGTTTCATTAAGGGAGTATGCAGAGATTGTATACATATTTTAGCCCCAAATGGCATCCTGATGCAACTCTTAATGAGCTACTCCGACTTAAGTACCCTGACTAAACTGCACACAAAATGTTCTTGTTTACCAGCTGTGTCAGTCAGCTTCCTCTTATCAAAATTAATAGAGCAGCTTCCATTGGAAGCTGGGAGCAGAAACTAATTTACCCTTATAATGTGTTTTAATCAGTTACTGTTTTACAGGGAAAAAATCTACTAAGTGCAGCTTTTGATTTAAAATCCACCATCTGGAAGGTTTCCCCTTTTCAATTTTACATCAGTGGAACGCAAACAGGATTCCCATCGGCGGACACCTCGACTTTTGATTGAGTTCAGAGAAACAGATGCTCATTTGTAGCCAGATTCTTCCAGCTCCATCATCACACGGACACAGAGAGAGATAGAGGGAGATGGAGGGCAGAGATGAGTGGGTCGTTGGAAATGCAAATGCCGCGCCAGAGAACTAAATGTGCATTTGTCATGACGAGGGATTTGATCGCGCTGGGAAGGTGAGACTTCCTGGACCCAGCCGGAGATGTTAATCTAAGCTTGACCTGGTCTTATTTATTTTTTCCCCCCAAACTCATGCTCACAGAGGGTTGCTATGTGCGAGGGGGGGAGTGGGAGGGGGGAGGGGGTTGTCCAGGCTGCAGGGACGCTGGGGAGAGGTTGTGTTCTTTTCCAAAACCAAAGAGCAGCACTTCCTTATGAGCGTTTTCAGAAGACAAATTGGCTTGGATCAACAGCTAGGCAGCTGGCTGATGGAGAGGTGAGATGTATATGGCCCATATGGGCATTTTCATCATAACGGCTTTTCTTTTTATTTATATATTTTGTCCCCCTGCAGTATGTCACCTGCTGCAGTGTGTCATTCTGTCCTATTTGCTCTCATGCTCTATCACTCACCCACACAAATACACCTTAAAGTACAGTGCAGCGGTCCTGAACTAATCCTCCCTTTAAACACGTCCTACACAGTTGTGTTTGTGCCTAACTGCCTTTGATAAAAAAAAGGAGAGAGATCTCACTTCAGTCTGAAAATAGGAAAAAAAGAATAAAAAGGATGTTGCTTTTTTAGATGTTCCCATGCTGTTTGGAATAAGAAAAAGGTAAAATAGTGTCATTTTTAGAACTAATTTTATGACTTTCTGCTGTCTGGTACAGATCTATAATCCTTTTGAGCTGAACATTGACAGCGTAAACAATAAGCATTTTATTTCTTTCTCTGCTTTCTCTGCTTCAGTAGTAGAGAAAGTTCAACCTCTGAGTCTGCTGACCTTCAGATAGTAAAATAAGGAACCTTTATGACAAACATAATGTAAATGCCATTGACTGGTGCATATGAATCAAGATAACTGAACTGTCTCTCTTATTTTACTAGGTGCTAAGTCATCTAGTAAAATAATCGCGCTGAACTTGCACTGTTGATTAGATCTGGATTAGTTTAGTCTCAGGGTGATTCTAGGATCTGACTTTTAGGAGTGCTCAGCCCCCAGTGAACAGCTGATAGGACTTTTTGACTGACACAATTGTTAATGTCCAGGGATCAAACAAACCCTTTAAAAAAAAAAAAAAAACGTTTACCCCCCTCGCCTGTGGTTACGCTGCATCAAGACACAAGAAACCTCCAAAGAAGACATGAGCACAATTTGTAAACAAAAAATGGCATCAAATTTTAGCAGTTGTAGGATTTCTGTTTTGTGTTTGGTAAAAGATCACAAGCTTCTTCTTCTTCTATATTCTGGGTAAATGTACCCAGAATGCCCTGTGCATTGTGCTTTTGAAAAAGTCTATGGTCCGCTTGGTGTTCACATATGCCAGACAGAATTCATGTCACGCAAACCGAGACCTAGGTTTTTAGGCTTGACCAGGTCTGATCACTTGTGAACTCTGATCTGTACCAGAGTTCTCTTGTGCTTTCACACGTCCCCAAACAAACTATTCTAGGCAAAGGAACTACTAGAGCTTGATTAAAGCAGACTAAAAATATGTAGTGTGAATGCACCCTCAATGTCCTGCCAAATCATTGAGATCTCTATTAACACCCCTGGCATATGTATTTAAAAAAATATTTTTTACCAAAGTATTTCTTTCTTACCAGAAAAACTAACATTGCTTTGGAATGGCCCAGACAGAACCCCAATTTTAATCTGAAGGAAGCTAAAGATCACGGTGACGGGAATTAGACCTTCTAAGCCCTAATCATTCGGATTTGGGCTGTTTATTAATGATTTCTCCATTGGCTAATGAGAAGGGTACAAGTGATTTTAATTCAGTGTTTTATATGTTTACTTGGAGGCTGTACAAATTAGGGACTTTATTTTTTTACTTCACAAACACATCCCCTTTATTTCAATTCTATAAAGGATCAGTCTTTTGATATTATAACGTTTATAGTAGTACATTTTGCAGAAAGATGACTCTGAAGAAGAAACTGAATGTGACCCAAACAGCTCTGGGGAAACAAAGCAAGTAACTGTATGACATGAACCTCGTGTATAGAGGAACACAGAACCGAACCTTAATCCGTATGATTTGATCAAAATCAAGTTTTGTTGCTGAATGTGAAACCATATGTTCCATAATGTTTTGCCTTGTTCTTTAGATAAGAAACCACTGTTGTCTTCCTCAAACTCCCAAAAGATCAATTATTTTTGTTTCTTTGCTGCCTCCTCAATCTGTCACCCTTTTCAAAGAACTCAGATTACCTTTCAGGCTCGGCTTTTCATCAGATATTTCATTTGATACATCGGATCAAAAAATTTGCTTCTACTCAAAGCTTAAATGAAAGCCTTCGGGCAAAACCTGCTTACTTTGAGGTGTGCAAATGTTATAGCATGACGGTGCTCAGGATGTGGAACACCTGTTGCAAAACTGATTTTTAAGTTAGATTATTTTTTTTATGATTTTATGCTGATTTTACAGCCATCTGGAAGGACTAGAAGAGTCCTTCACCTTTTCAGTAAGCAGCCTTTAAACTCTAAGCCTTTAAACATTTTCTCTGAACACCAGTGTGATTTCTTTGTTTTTTCTTGCAGGTTTGGCAGTTCACCAGATTATCACAATCACTGTGTCTCTCATCATGGTGATCGCAGCCTTGATCACAACACTCGTCCTTAAAAACTGGTAGGAAAGATTCCTTTACTCTTCACTCTCAGCGCCTTGTCAGCAGCTCCGCTTCGGTTTTAGAGAATCTCACTAGCTTAGTCATAGGTGCGAGGTATGATTTTATGTTTGTTTCTTGTCTTTGGTGCGTGTTTTTGTAGCTGTGCGCAGTCTGGAAATGGCCGCCACAATAGCCATCAGAGAAAGATCCACCAGCAGGAGGAAAGCTGCCAGAACCTGACAGACTTCACGCCGGCCCGCGTGCCCAGCAAGGTGGACATCTTCACTGCCTACAACGACAGCCTGCAGTGCTCACATGAGTGCGTACGGACTGCCGTCCCCATCTACACCGACGAGATGATCCAGCAGACACCTGTGTACAAGACGGCTTACAATGGAAACAGGTACGATGGTGGAAACATGACTATGTGAAAGAGGGAAATAACTTTTCTGCTTGCCAGAAATAATATTGAACGCACTTAAAGATATATAATCACTTGTGTTGTTGGTGTCAGGACCTGGGTTGTTTTGATTTTTTTTGGTTCGACTTTCATTATATTGTTTCTTTATTTTGATTAGATCAGCCTTGTTTCTGTTTTACATCAGTTCAGTCCTTAGTTATTTCAGTTTGCTATGTCTAGCTATTTGTGTTCATCTCCCTAGTTACCCAGTTTGTGTGCTCTCCCTCGCCCCTGTGCCATTTTCTCTCTCTTTCTCCTCATACCTGCAACCCATTTCTGATTAGTCATCTGTTCCCTGTTCAGTGATCAAGCTTCTCAGTTTATATACAACTTATTCTCAGTCACTCCTTGTTGGTTTCTCCTGTTAAATCCCCCTTTTTCCCTCTGATTTATCCTACTGGCTGTTCTTCCTGGTTTTTGTGTTTTTTGTTCTGCTCTGGCCCCCTGTAATTTATTTATTTTTTGGAAGTTCTTCACTCTCCATTTTTATTAAAACTTCAAAACTACTTCCTGAATCTGCCTTGCTGCATTTGGGTCCTCCATTACCACAACACATCATAACAGTTGGCGTGTGATTTCTAAAATGTGATGAGAGTACAGTGCCCTGTAAAATGGGAAATAAATCAATCTTGAATTTTAGTAGCTAGTATAATCTGAATCTTACGGAAAAAAACTTACAAAATCCAAGCAAAATTATTGGAATTACTGTTGGAATTTTACCAATTCCTACATAATAAAGTGAATTCATCAATTCTTCATCAACGCTCAATTCTTCAAGTAGGGTAGAGCAGATTGTTTTTGACAGGAACTATTTATTATTAATGCACGACATACTGTTTTCATAGAAATGCTGTAACACAGCTCATTTCTCTTACCCTAGTTTCTAAATGGCAAATATTACAGTGCATTCTATGCAAATTAAGTAGATGTGCGTTGATCTTCATGAATCAGAAAATGACTCGAAGAAAGTGACTCAACCACACTTAGTCAGGATGATGGGAAGGGAAATATTGATTTGGTTTATAGATTCAGGGCAAATATAAGCTTCCATTTTTCTGACTGTTTTCCAAATAATAACCATGTAAATTCTTTACAACCATGTTAAAGCACTTATATAACTTTATACCCAAGAAACTGATAAAATAATTAACATTTTTGTGTCTTTATTGATGATTATCTCATTACGTGGACAGTGCAACATTAAATTGGTCTTATACTGACAGTCTTTATAGTCCGGGTGACGTTGTGAGGTAAAAGACCAACAATGATGACAAATTAACAGCCATACATCAGTAGTGACGATGAAAATGATTAATTTAGTGTCTACATTTAACAATCACTGGAAGCGTTTTTATCGCTTTATTTTACAGATGTAACAGAAACACTTCTGATGAGTCAAGCAGCTTTTTTTAGTATCCGACTGTGACAACATTATGCTGTCGACAGAGACGTTGAAGGCTAACTAGGGGCATGATTAGACCTTAGCGGACACACGCTAATAAAATCTCTGGGGCAAAAAGACATGCCTTAGCTCGGTGTTTCATTCACTTCAAAGTCAATTTGCTTAATGACCTAACTGCCTTCATTTTACCCAACAGGCCCTCCCCCACTGAAAGACAGCTGATTCCTGTGGCCTTTGTGTCGGAGAAATGGTTTGAGATCTCTTGTTGACGAGCTGCAGGCTTTCACTCGTTTACTGGGAAAGACTTCATGAATCCACGCTCTGGTGGGTACTTTTCCATGCTACCTCCTCTACAAACTGTGGAGTGGGCTTCAGCCGCCTCAGTCCCCTGTGGTAACGCTGCCCCACTTTGGGAATTGAGAGGAACTTGGCATATGTTTGTTATTTGTGACATAATTGTGGATTTTTCCCATATCCTGTGTGGAAGGAAAATCAGTTCAGAGCAGCATCTCAGAAATGAGGTAGTCGTTTGGGCCTTTCTGCAATTCTTGTGAATTCCACAACCCTTGAATTTGTTCACATTTTGTTTATTCATAGCCACAAACCTCTGTGTATTTTATCTGGATTTTATGTGTTAGACCATCACAAAGCAACACCTACAGTGCCCCCCAAAAAAGGATTTGCCCCTTTTTACCCTTTTATTACTTATAGAAATCATGATCAACATAGTCTGGCTTCTTTGACAGGACAAACAAGAAAGATTTATGTCAAAGTGAAAACCAATTTTCACAAAATGAACATAAAGTGATTGCATTAATATTCACCCCCTTTAA